AGGTTGTCGCATATGTTGTTCTTGTGTATATGGTTCAAAAATATCTGGTTGGTTTACGTGGTAAGAGTGGAGTCTTTGGTTTTGATGAAATTGTGGGTTATTTTGGTTATAATAATCTTCATCATCTGATGAAAGATAATTAGATGTATAATAAGGTGTTTGATATCTATTCTTGTTTTGCTGTCTATTATTCTTGTTTTGCTGAAAAAATGGATAATTTTCACTGTGGTCTTGAGAAAATTGTGGGTAATCATTAAAATTTACTGAGTTTGATGTTGGTTGTTGGAAATTTTGTCTTTGTGAAAATAAATGATTTTGCGTGTTTGCTAGAGAGGGTTTAGTTGTTTGTGGTCTATTTACATCGTTATAATTTTGTTCTGCAAAGTTATTTCTAGTGAATGTTCTTTGTTTTTGTGTTGGTTTCGTCATTGGTCTAAACGTTTGGTAATCCATCTAAGAATTTTTTGGAACAACGGAGGGTTCAACCGTAGATTGTAAGGTCACCTGTGGTAATGTTGGATTTTTGGGTCTTGGAGTTGTAAGATTTAGTGAAATACTTTGTTGTGTTGTTGTTGTTACTGTTTCAACTATTTCTTCATTTGCGACATGTGATGGTGTTTGAATATCTTGTTGTGTAAGATTTCTAGTTCCATATAAATTTTCTTGTTGTATGAGGGTTGAGTTTAAACTATTATTTCCTAGTCTATCGAGTAGAAATGAATTATAGTTTAAAAGTGTTGCGTCAATGGTGAGTGGATATATTTTAACAGAGTCTTTGTTAATAAAAATTGTGCTTATTGCTTGACTTGAAATATCAGGAATAGTGGATGAGATCATTCGGAGTCCCAAGCATAATCTGATTGTTCTTCTAAAACAGTTTCATCAGTAGAATTTTGAAATCTAAAATTTTTTTTTGTTGTGAGATTAAATCAATATTATATGTGAAATAATCAATGATTAACCATGCTAAGAGTTTTGTAAATCGTGTTTAACATTCTGCGAAACTTCGTTAATGGTTAATTTTCCACAGTTTGTGTTTAAAAACTCGGAGATTATTGCAATTTTATGTCTTACAGCTGTGTGTCTAGATGCTTGAACTGGTGAAGTTCCTTGAGATTCTGTTTTTTTTCTAGTATAGATAGATAGCTATAGATTATTGAAAATACATCGTTAGTGAATAGGGAATTCGCTCTCTGTGAGTTTTGATGTTGTATATTGTATTTTATGTATTCTGTGAATACTTTTGAAAACTCTATATCAACGTCGTCTGTTTGAAGTACATATCTACCATGAAACTTTCTTGGTGATTTGATTTCTATAGTATAGATTCCGTACTGTTGTGTTCTATTACATATTCCTTTTAAATAGTGATCAATAATTTGTCTTTCGATTTCTACTTCTGGAAATTCTGCTGTACATGGACTAATTCCTTTTTCGAATAAATTTGCGATCAACTTTTGACAAAATTGTGTTTGTCCTCTATCATCAGTGAGTGAGTTGATTAAAAATGGAAGAATGGAGTTTTCGTCTTCGCTTTCTTCGTTTTGGCTCATTTTCATGTTTTATGACTGTTAATGTGTAGTTTTTATTGTGTTTTTTTGGTTGATTCCAATTGTATAGACGTACTGTTTTGTTTTTGTATGTCTTTTTTAATCTTCGTTTTCCTTGTACTGATGATTGTGATGTGGTTTCTGAGTCAGAAAAAAATAATGTATCAGTAAATTGATAATTTTTATTTACGGAGTCTTTTAACCTGTAAAGTTACTGGTCTAACTTACTGGTTTCTGATTCGGAGACTGCGTTTCTTCGCTTTGAAAATCTTTTTCGTGTAATTTGTCTTTGTTTGCATAAAATTTTCCTTGTGATTGTCTGTCGTTTTGTTCTAATATATCCTATTGTTTGTTTGTGCGGAGTGATTACGAGATCATATTTTTCGTTGTTTATTTCACAATCGTGTAAAATGATCTAGTGACATAAGGCTTAGGATGACGGATGCAAAAATGGGATTAGTGATTTTTAATGTCTTTAACTGTTAATTCTTACAATTTTTTGTGGTTAGCCTAACTTGGGTCATGTATTTCAGGGTTGGAGAGAAAAGTATATATTGATTACTGAGAATGATTTTAACTTTCTCGTGGCTAGTATAAGTTAAGGTGTTAACTTACTTAATCTTACTTATGGGTAGTGATTGTGATCAAGGGTTGGAGAATAGTAAATCGATCCACAAGATTCAGGTATAATTAGAACACAAGTAGTTCGTTAGATACTAATTTAATTTTACTAAGTTTAATTATTATCCTGGGTCAGGTAAGAGGGGGTCAAGTGAAGGATGAATAACCGAAGTTCTTCACTGTTTATCCTAATTAGAATGGTTAGTGTGATTGAAAAATTTCTATTAGTCCTGGGTCGTGAGGAAGGTTTGGGTAGTGAATCGACGTTTGAGGTCGTTAGACTCTTTATTAATTTTGAGGGGGAGAACAAAATTATTCTATTTGATCCAAGGATAAGCCTTGATGATCGGGATATAAAATAAATGAAATTAAATTTAATATAGATAAAAGTGAATTAAAGATCCGAGGAAAGCTTTGATGATCTGTCAAGTTTGAAAAGTTTAATTTAAATGGAAAAAAGAATTAGGATAGACCTTTATAAATTAAGTTAAGGTTTAATTGATAGAAAATTTTTGTTTTATTAGTTTTTGATGATGTTAGAGGATTTATGATTCGCTGTTATGTTGTAGGTGATGAAGCTGGTGATCTAGAGTATACTGGTTTTGTTACAAGTCAGTCTCTTGGAGAAAGCAACTAAGTTGTAAGTTAAATTCAAAATGTTCTGGTGCTGAAATTACAAGTAATTTCGGCTCTTACATATAAGTGGGTTGTTAGTTTGATGGAGTGTGATTGGTTAGTCTTTAATATTTTATATGAATAAAGTATCTAAATTATAACCAGTAAAAAATTATAGTTAGGATCTGGTTCCACAATCTAGCAATTCAACGTTTTTTTTTACTATTTAACACAGCTATTCTGTGCGCACTGGTTCTTATTTGGATGATTTTGGGAATAGTTTAGTTGTTTGCTCGCCTAAACTATTTTATGGAGCCTAAACTAAATCCATTTTATGGAGTTCGCTTTTTGTCCTATAAAAATCGAAAAATTAACTAAGTTATAGTTATTCCCAACTTCTACAAATTTGTTAGGCTTCTATACCTCAAGTATACAATTAGTTTCAAAAAGGGGATTTATCTTGTTGGAAATACTTTAACACAACATGAAACTGTAATGACTGAATTGTAATTGATAGCTGTGTTGACATGACCTTGTTATTCCTGATGTCTTCAAAACTTTGTTGCGGTTTCTTGTGGCGCGATTTATTTCCCTCATAGTCTCATATTTGCTTGGCATACCTCCATAACTGACATCGAACTACTTGAAGACATTAAACAGAAAAGAAATTACTGTTTGATATAAATATGGATTTTGAGCAAAGGATTCGCTACGAGATCAGTACCATTTTTAACAAGGGCATTTAAAAACCCAGTCGTCAGGCCAAATTAGAAGTTTTTAAACGATTCTAATTTTAACGAAAGTGATTGGAGAGTAAGAAAATATATTATTTTCTTAACAGATATTGGAGTTTTTGGTGATATGTTTTAATAGAGGGCAGATGCAGCTGATTTAAGTAAAAAAGTTGGTAACCACCGCATTTCGGACACTTACAGATCAATTACTTATTTAAAATTCACGTCACAAGATTGGTTTCATATCGTTTCTATTTTGTGTTCAAATATTTTTAGCTTATAAAATAAAACGAACTTTCAGTATTTCTAAATTGGCGATTAAATTTTCATTATTTTGAACATGGCTAATCATAGATGAAATGAATTTCATCGACAAGCACGTTTTGTGGTATGCAAACTCAAAAATAATGCCTCAAAGAATTGTGAAATGGGGAAACTTATTTTTTATGGGGACATTTTATGGAGTTCGCTCAAATGGTCGAAACCAGAAAAACTCTGTCAGCTCTTTGTGGTATCGTGATGTTTCAAAGTCAAAGCCCCCTCCCTTCTACCCAGGGACTTGACACCCTGACTACCCAAAGTGTCTCCCGTTGGGTACTATTTTAAGACATTCATTTTTTGACTGATCCACATTAAAATTTTTCTAAAGGCGCCTCTGGTGCCAATGAATACGAATTTTGAAAAGGGAATGCGCGCCGAAAAAACGCAAACTTTTGGTCAGAGCAATCCACAACAGTTTTGCCTGCAGCGCAGAACAATCGATCGAAAAAGGAATTTTACAGTGATTTGTGAGAGATCGGGGTAAATGACAAGGAAACGGGTCTGATCCAGGCAGTGAACCTAATAGGCAATTATGAGAGACATTAAAGCAAACACTTAAGAAAATCATAGATCCGCATGATCCACCCCTCATTTATGTTATACAAGTTGAGTCTAACTGGTAAATATTTTGAACCACTTTTTTCCTGATTTTCAAATAATTTTGAAACCTAATTTTTTGATCTCGCGATCTTCAGTGATTTGGAAAACCTTGACCATAAAATTTTTCTAAGGTAATAAAAGATGAAACAGTCAGCAAAACGTGAGCGAAACCTGCCACAAACAAAAATCTGGTTGTAAAATCAATTTTATATTGGTTCCATATCAATTTGTAGATCAAGTCCAAAAATTAATTTGTAGGATTGATAGCTAAAATTGACTTCTCAGTTGAACTTTCGACTTTTTGTCCTATAAAAATCGAAAAATTAACTAAGTTATAGTTATTCCCAACTTCTACAAATTTGTTAGGCTTCTATACCTCAAGTATACAATTAGTTTCAAAAAGGGGATTTATCTTGTTGGAAATACTTTAACACAACATGAAACTGTAATGACTGAATTGTAATTGATAGCTGTGTTGACATGACCTTGTTATTCCTGATGTCTTCAAAACTTTGTTGCGGTTTCTTGTGGCGCGATTTATTTCCCTCATAGTCTCATATTTGCTTGGCATACCTCCATAACTGACATCGAACTACTTGAAGACATTAAACAGAAAAGAAATTACTGTTTGATATAAATATGGATTTTGAGCAAAGGATTCGCTACGAGATCAGTACCATTTTTAACAAGTTTCACCCGCTGATGAAAAACTACTGGTTTATTGGCCAAGCGACTGTGTTGGGATCTACAGTAGCGTATCTAATGACCGTTTTGACACTTTGTTTAATAATGCGGCGACAAAAACCGATTCCAGAGAACCTTATGAAACCATTAGTATCCGGCTACAACATTCTTCAAATATCGATGAACTCGGTTATTTTTGCAATCACGACTTTGTCTATTTTGACGCGGAGCTCGTTTGAAAGTGTTTTTTGTCTACCTCTGTCGCCGAGTTATGAATCATCGGGAGCTGAAAGCTGGGGTAATGGGCAGTAAACAGATGAACAAATGAGCATGAAAGTACTTGAATACACATGGATAAAATATGTAATAAGAAACACCAACTTGTCAATTAATCTGGGTATAACTAGAAATTGAGTACTTTTTTAATGCAATATTTGCTATTATTGTACAACACCCAGAGGCGGATCTAGGATTTTTAGGTCGATCGACCAAATTGATTTTCCGAGCTCTCCCGAATCACTAAAAAGACCCTATTTTAGCCATTTTAGCCAAATTTTGCGCGACAGGCGAATTATTGAAAAACAGGCCAAAATAGGCGTTTTAGGCACTTTTTGAACACTTTTGACCAAAAAGTTGTGTTTTTCGGCGCATGCTCCCCCTTAAATATAGTATGCATAGGCGCCGAAATATTTTGGGGCCAGCATCTCAAAAATAGAGGTCTTAAAATAGTAGCAAAGGGGGACCTTTGGGTAGTCAAGGGGTCGAATCATTGAGAGAGGAAATCAGCTACTGACATCACCCATTTTGCCGATAAGTTTTTCTGAAGACACCAATGTGTACTAATTTGAGGTCAACCAAATTTTTGCAAAATCTTTGAATATTCCCCTGCTTTCCTTAATTATTGCTATTTTCTTCTTCCTTCTTTCTTGGGTATATTCATTCATCTGATTATCGCACCAACTGCTTAGTGCCGACAAGTTATGGTGCCCTGGATAAGTGGGAGTCATTTGGCAACTGGCTCTTCTTCGTGAACAAGTACGTGGAGTTGCTGGACACAGTGTGGATTGTGTTGCGGAAGAGGTTCAACCAGCTGTCTTTTCTCCACCTGTACCACCACTCCACAGTCATGATTGTGTTCTGGCCTCTGGCTACATTCATCCCAACAGGTAAACTTCTGCCGATCAAACATACCACTGCGCGTTTTAAGTACATGCTTTGAAAATTTTGCTCCTTATAAGTTTTTTTTTTCAAGCAGTACGCGGTCCAAAATCTGCCGATTTGAAATTTTTTTGAACTTTAAAGATTTTTTTCAATATCCTAAAGTCTTTTTCGTTAAAATATTTAGTTTCTTTTAGTTGAAAACAGTCACTTAATAATTACACCGACCCGGCTGACATGTTGTGCATAAAAAGCATTCTTTTCATTCCATATAATTTGTTGTGTTGGTAATCAATTCTTTCAATTCTTTTGAATCAAAATTTTTTTATTTTATCCAAATACTTCATGCAGTATTATTAGATAAGAGATTAAAATTAATGCAAAGCTGGTTTAATTATTGGTTCAAGAAATATTTTTAAAGTTTTTTTTTCCCGAAATTTAGAAGGAAGTGACGAAATTGACGCGCTCATTGTGTTTCCTGTTTTACCCAGAAAGCTCGTTTTTTTTTACCTGCAGTTATTGGCACAACTTTTTATAAACTCCAAAAAATACTGATGCTTCCAGCTCAAAAACGAAAAATTTCTTTCTTATTTTGCAGTTTTGTTTCCAATTTCTAAGGGTCTAAAAATTTCCAATGTGACCGATTTTGAATAATTATTTCGCGTTATTTTGCAGTTTTGTTTCCAATTTCTAAGGGTCTAAAAATTTCCAATGTGACCAATGTTGAATAATTTTTTCGCGCGAAGTTTCTGAAATACTGTTAAGACGCAGAATAAGCGGTGAAAAATCATTCGAGTTGAATTAGTTAAAGCAACATAATCTTGCTGAAATTATCAAAGCAAGATAAGCAAAGTTTTGCTTCAGTAGATGCAAAAGTTATCATTTTGTCTTGACCTTGAGTGAAGGGATGATTAAAAAAATGAATTTTTGGCTTTATTTGCGATTTATTTTCTTTTTGCCCAAAACTACATCGATTACGTTAAAAAAACATTGAAAACTGAAAAATTGCAGGGTTTAGTCCAGGAAACTAAACCATAAGTGAAAAAATATGGAATGTTTTAAATTATTCAAACAATAGTTGGAACTCTAGATATTGCTTCTACCGTTAGTTACCAGCTTTAATATCCAGTAGCTAAAATTGAAGTTTCATGAAATTGAGCATGTCAGCAGCACAAATGATTCAAGTGATTTTGTTAAACAAGTTGTTCATCCGCGAAAAGTCTTTATTCCGATTTGACAAAGCTTAACGGCCAGTGAGTGGTAACAGTTTTAAAATTTTTTATCACAGGTGTGAGTACTTGGAACTCAATGTGGAACTCGGGCGTTCATGTTCTGATGTATACCTACTACTTTCTATCCGGCAGAGGAGACACCTACCGACAGTTACTGCGACCAATCAAACCCTATCTAACTCGAATCCAGATGATCCAATTCCTGTTTCTCATTGGAGTGTCATGCAGTGCATGTTATGAGATCCACATCGCCAGGACTTGCAGACATTCGCTGTTGTATGGACTCTTCATGAATGCCTATGGAATGAGTCTCCTGGTTCTGTTCGGATACTTCTACTTGGAGTCATACAGAAGAAAAAATTCAGAGAAAATAGGATTCAAAAAAGAATAAATTCAAAAGCGTGGAGAAAAATGACCGAGAGTACGAACAAACAAAGACTTCAAAAACACAAGGATCGTAATTTACATTTTTAAACAAATAAAAAACATTAAATTATAAAATATTAAATGTTTTTAAACCATTTTGAAATAAAACCGAGTCAGATTTATAGCACACGTTGTATATTGATTTTAAACAAGACAAAAAAGTTTTACACACAAAAATTAAAGGCAACAATTGTTACATAACTTGATGAGAGGTAGTATTACAAACTTTACTTAAGTGAGCTTAAATCTTCAAAAAGCTATTACCGCTAATTTTCCTGCTTTTACCTGCGCGTAGGTTTCAAAAATCGGTATGTTTCGGATCCGCTTTTTACTCGATTCTGAGCCTCCTAGGATAAGGGAAGAACATATGACATCTGGAAGCTGCCAGCCTCCGTTTTTGACAACAAATTATTGTAAAAAGGGTGACTTGGGTCTTGTTCTGGAATTGTGTTGGCGAAACTTAAACTCGGAGGGTTCCAGATGCTTGGAACTTGCGAGCCAAAAATTGGATCTGAAGTAGTTGAAGAATAACTGGGAAGATTCGAACTACTTGGTGATTGGCTAATCCACGAGTACCCTGGATTTAGAGACGATGACGCCATTAATGGGCTTGAAAAATCCCTAATTTGACCATATCGATGCTCTTGTGAAATATCGCTGGGTTGGTTTTGAAATCTGAGCGATCTTTGATGTTCACTTGATAAACTCGACTGATAATTTGTTAGAAAGAAGTTACCATTTAAGGAACTGCAGTTAGAATTAGTCGAGTTAGATTGCGGCGACCATGTGTGATAGTTTGTGTTTTGAAAGTTGCTCAGAATAAAAGGGTTCACTGGCGAATAATTTGAAAAGATATTCAAATTTGGGTACGAAGTTGGCATAGTACTTGGGCAAAAATGAATTTGAGAAGTGTGGCGACTGATATTGTTCACTTGTGGAGTTTTCTTTGGGCAGTTTTGTTTCAGTGAAGATTTTTCGGCTAAGTTCTTCTTGGTTTTTTTGCACCTCCTTCCGAGCTTGATTGCTAAAACAACAAATTTTCCACTTTAAAAAAGTATAAAACTAGCGTACCAAAAAACAGGACGAAAAAATGCGAGAAAAAAAAACAAAAAAGTTCATAGTCTTTGAAAATTAGAAACTTAAAGTTATTGCAAAAAAATCGAGCGGGCGGAAAATGCGGGATGTACTAATCCTTGTCAATGGCTTTTTTAAGAGCATTGATATTTTCTCCCAAAAAAGTTTCGAATCCAGCACCAATCTTCAAATTTTCTCATAAATTGGAAAATTTTGCCCAAAAAGTAAAGCAAAGATTTGTTGCGAACGGGTCGACTTATTTAGGTCATAGGCACTCCAAGAGCAACGTGTTCGGTTTCTGCCTCAGAACGTGATAGAAAAACTGTGATTGTTTCGTGATAGTTTAGAGGACAATATTAATTGAATAGCTGTTTGAGACCCTGAAATAGTCCGAAATATAAAACTATTTCTGTTCAGTTTTCGTGTTTTTCTAATGCTTGAACTAATCAGCTATAACAGCTAACTTATAAGCTACACATACATGTTACGACTAAAAAAAAACAATTTCATTGACGTCAAATAAATTCGAAGCCAAAAAAAACTCCTGCAACCACTTCTACCCAATATAAAAGCCCCCTCTCTCAACGAAACGAAACCTAGCAACAAAACCCATTTTGAAAAACAGATTTCAACTTCTTTTGTGATTCATTCAGCTGAATTAGTTGTCTCCTGGTTCAAAGTACGACGCTCATTCGAGCGACCAATATTTATCTAATTTTAAGATTGTCACTCAGAAAACTGTAAGGCTAAAATTTGTTCAGATCAAAAAAATACATCAAAATAAGAACATGTTAGCTAAGTTTTCTTGTGGGCAGGAACCAGATAACTGAAACACAATTGAACCAATAAGTAAACAAATTGTAAACTCACAGTTTCTACTATTGATAGTTTCGAATAAACAAATCACGCCAAGCAGCTGAAAATGATTTATATGGTTATCAGCTACAGCATCTAAGCCAATGTCTAATCTCAACAAGGTTAGCCGGTTGCTGTGCAAGTTTCACAGAATGTTCCGACCATATTCTTGAAAAACTTCAAAGAAAGGTTTTTTAAAATTAACTTCATTTTTTTGTGAATTGTGTGATAAAAGGATGTGAACGGAAGACTAAATTTCAAACATTACCGATATTCAAAGTAAAAAAGCGTATTGAAAATCATTTTTGTTCTTCAAAAAATTATTTGAAAAAATCAAAAAAAAATATTTTTTTTACAATTTTTTTTTGATTTTTGAAATCTCTTTATTCCCAATATGCCGCCAAAAAAAACATTAAAAAAAATTTTTCTCTAGATTTTTTAGGAAGAAACACGAACTCTCAAATAAAAGTTACAACTAATCTGCGTGAAAAAAAAAATCAAAATATATAACGCAGAAGAGCTTCACTTATACTAAGTTATTCTTTGATAAGTTATTCGTATTGAATGTGAATCTGTGACTCTTAGCAAAACAATTACATCAAATTAACTCTTCAAATTGCAATATAATCCTACAGAAGCGAAAAAAAAATCAATGATCAACACTAAATAAACACCTTAACTTTTCAATTGTTACAAGAGCTAGAAAAATCTTCAGCTGATTCACAAATCTTTTTCCTAAGTTTTTCGGAATCATTTGCAAACTGACTCGGAATGAAAATAACAACTTTCTCCTCAAAGTTCTTGAGTCTACAAAAATAGGAAAAAATGAGTTGATAAAAATTGTTATTGAGATTTTTTCTCATAGTGTCGGCTTTCTTCAACGTTTACATTCCCAGTAAAAGTTTCAAATTTCTAACTAACTTTTTTTAAAAAACTTCTATAGTTCTATCGTAACAAAGAATAATTGTGGTATCATACTACCATCCTAATCATAAACTTGTTTTTTTTTTGTGCTAAGAGACGTCTGAAAACAGGCATAATTTGCCTAACGACGATCTCCCAGACTGGGTTCTTTAAGTGATCATAATATATATCATATCAATCATTGTGAATCTACATTGGAACCAATTTTTTATGATTATTAATAAAAAGAAAAAAACAAGGACACTCGAATACAAAGTTCCTCCCAATTTTTCAAATGTTCTGAACAAAAACTGAAAACTCGTACACTTAGTTCAGACGGAGGAAAATTTTTTATGTTTTGTACATGGATTAAAAATTAACCACGCTGTGTGCAGTGAATTTTGTCCTGTAATTACGTATCAAATGAGCAGCTTTCCAATTTACTCATACAGATATGAACTGGTCCTACGGCGCTCAACACAGCTGTAGAATAACGTTTCTTTCTAAAACTGCTACTGAAAGTTTTGTAACAAATGATATCGCTATCCTTCAAATTTTGATTTGTCAATTTGCTTCTCTGAAATTTTGGTTGATAACAAAATCTGAATTACAAACAAGAACTATTTTTATTTTAAATGTTTCTTTTTCAAAAGTTTCAGGAATATAAACATTAAAAACGGCTCTTTTTGATCGATTTTGTTAATTTTAGTAGTTGAGTAAAACTAATATTAAAGCGATGATTTGCCCTATACTTTGTGAATTTTTTTCTATTTTCTTGTTTTTTTTTCAGATATCAAACAGCGCAAAAATCTAAAAAAGAAACAAGGATAGCCAGTTACTGTCAGGTATCAAGGAATGTTCCGACCACAGTCTTCAAAATATATAAAAGTTTTTTTTTTAATTGTTGTCGTTTTTTTTGGATGTTGTGATAAAAAAAATCTGAACAAAAAAAATTAGGGATATCTGCAAGTCATAAAAAAATAGGTCAATTGGAATACAGTTTCTGAAGAAAATTGACTAGAAAAACGGAAAAAAAATCAATTTTTTTGTATTTTTTCTGAATTTTAAAGCTTTTCATTCCAAAAATTGCGCCAAAAAACTCAATTTATTTGAATAAAATTAAGTGGTCACGGCTGAAATCAGTTTTTAAAAGCATATACGGTCACGTTACTAGATCGAAATTAGACCAAAAATCGAAAGCTTCAAACCTGTTTTTCTCGACAATGAAAAAAATTTAATGTCGCTCGAGTCGCCACTGAAAGGGCTTTAATATGATATTACACTCACTCCAGTCCGATGATTATTTGTGGTACCTGATTTTGCGTGGAAAACAAAAAGAAAAAAACTTGAAACACACCCGATTACAAAGTTCCTCATCATTTTTTAAATGGTCGGAACAATAACGCTTGCTAATCGCAAGCCTAATAATGATAGTTATAACAAACAGTTTCCTGTATAGGTCCAAATGCAATCAGTGTAGCATATTTTTTTAATGAATTTACAAAGTGCGAAGGAACTATGGTCAGGGGTGTTTTCAACTGACTCAAGGCAAACTCAGAGTGGTCAAAAGTGACCTTTTAGCCATGATTCGGTTTCTAAATAAAGTTTAACACAAATAGTGTCTAGAAAAGCATCTGAAAATTTTTGAGTTTTTCTGTCTAAATTAAACAACTTGATCAGATGCTGGTCTCCCAATTGATTTTATTAATTTTAACGTTTTTTCAGCTTTTATAACTAGTCATGATTCTTTATTAGCTAAATTAATTGCCGTTTCCTGGAAAAAGTAACGAAAAAAATTGACAAAAAAAATCTAAAAATGCGATCTGTTTGCTCTTTTACCTTTTGATTTAGTTTTGAATTGCTTCTTCTGAAAAAAAGATGATCAAAATATTTTGTTCAATTTGGACAGCTACCGGCGACTTGTTGATTTGTACAATCATCATTTATCTTAGACAACCGTTGTCTGAGAGATCGCCGTTTGACAAAAATTGTTCAATTTCATAAGTTTTTTGAGTGATCAAAATCGATAAAAAAAATACAAAATGTTGTAATACCACTAGTAACAATTGTTGTTGTTGTAATATCATTGATTCTTAAGCTACAATATAGGAGGCCTACCTTGTTTGGACATGCCAGCGTGTATGCAGCGTGTGAATCTGCAGTAGCGACAAGAGTTCCTGGTGGAGGGGGTGATGGGGCAGTGTGCGTGGGGGTGACTGAGACACCTGTACTGCAGGTAGTCCCTCAGTCCATTCTGAGAATCCACGTGCTGACTGCGCTTGAAGAAACCCTAAGCACACACCTTTTAATATATAAATTTATATTGTAACATTTACACAAAATTTGTTCCGTTTGTGAAAAGGTTTTGTTTTTTGATTTAATAACTTTAAATATAGGAACGTCTCATATACTATACATCTGTTGCAGCGTAATTTTTTTGTTGAATACTCAAAAGACTTCTGAAGAAAAAAACACACTGAGTATAAAGATTCGATCTTTTCGACTCAAGATGAAAGGATCGAGTTTTTGTACTCGGCGTGGTCTTTTTCTTCAGAAAAAATTCGAACATTGAGCAAAAATATCGTCTACTATAACCCACTTAAAAAGTATACGCAATAAGTTGTATTTGTATTTGCACTCAAACGTTAAATAACTTCTACTCGTTTGATTCGTTGAAAAAAATCTCCGAAGAAACAGCAAAACTTAAAATGTAATGGTTCCGCTGATAAAATTGTGGTGTTCTCACTTTGCAGCCTTCGCATGAAAATACTCCAAAATGGACTCCACTAGCAAAGTCTCCGCACACCCTACACATCTCCTTAACAACCCCGCCCCCTCCTCCGATCCAGCAGTTGCCGGGGGACGACAACGTCTCCTCTGGGTGCCTCCCCTTGCCGTCCTCTGATTCCGATAATTTAATCGTCAATTGAGGGTCGCCCTCGCAGTTCCCGTTTTCGTCTTTGAAGATGTTTTCGTCTTTGAAGGTCGTAACTGTTTTCAACTGCATTTCCAAAACTTCAGTTGCAGGGAGCTCTTCAAGCATTGGCGCTTTCATTGCGAGCTTCTCAACCTGGTAAGACTTATAAGAATAAAATTATCAAAAGAAGTACTGGAACCAAGAAAACCCCATAAAACTCTT